AGTAGCCTCATGTCCCTCATCATAAGCTCTAGCAGCATCCTCTGCAGTTTGCACTGCAGTGGCAAATGTGCCTAACCAATCTCTTGTAGTTTTATATGGATTTCTTATTGTTGAAATTTGGGTCTTGTTTAAGCTCTTTATTGTTGAAATTTGTGTTTAGTTGAAATTGCCCCTACTGTGCTTTTATGTGAATTGATATAGAATTGCACCTATCAATTACAACCAAAAATTTGTGAATTGTTGAAATTTGTTGAATTGCACTTGTGAATGGTTGAAATTTGTGTTTTGTTGAATGTGCTTTATAGAATTGTTATAGAATTACACCTATGAATTTGGGTAATATTGTTTTATATTTTTATCATCATTAAATTTATAACCAAAAACTCGACGTTCAACATCGATAAATTGTGCCCACCCTAAATTACAATCCAAGCTCCACCCCTGAACATATCTGTTGTGCAGGTGATGGCGACGTACGTTAGCAAGGCGGCAGAGAGGTTGCAGACCAAAAAGTTCTCATCTTTGAGCAAAAAATAAAACTTCTATCAAAGGCAGGATATGAGTTGGGAGATTTGGGCCAAGGGTCAAAAATTGGTGATGATGGAGGAGAATTTGATTGAGGAGGTGCAAGTTAGCAAGACAGTGGAGGAAATAGTCTTGAAGAAATAAGAGGAAAAATTGGTGATTGTTATACTAATGTGGGGTGAATAAAGGAGATGGGAAATGTAAACATTGTTAAGAAGTGCACGATAGCAAGATTTTATGGTTGAGGAAGATGGTGGTAGTCCGGCGATATAAGTGGGACGACGACGGTTTTGGAGTATTGTTTGGCTTGGAAGAAGAAGATGAAGATGGGATAGGGTAGGGTAGGGTAGGGTAGAGTGGGGTGGGCAGATATATATATTTTTAGTTTATTTGTTGTTTTTAAATCAAATGGAAAATTGGTATGAACGAAAATACCCTTACTTAAAATAGTCAAAATACATCATTTTTGTAATTTTCAAGTCAACTAATGATCAAATGAATGGTTTTCATCAAGTTGGACCTCATCTTTATATTTATAAAAGGTTAGAGACATTATTGGCACAAATTGAAGATTATGGTAAAGTCTGCAAAATAAAAAAGATTAGGGACCGTTGCTGCAATTTTTCGTTTAAAATATTGTAATATAATTATATAAAATAATTGAATCCTTTCGATTATATAATATGGTTAGCATAGTTGTTAACATTTACATAATTTTGATAAGTCATTTGTTAACATTTAAATTATGTCTTCATAATTAATTAAAAAATTTAAATCATTTATGAACAATTTGTTTAACAAATTTTGTGTTGAAATTTTCACTAGTATGCATATTCGGTACTGTGCATGCATAAAGTCTTTATATATTAACTTATATTATTTTAAAAAGGCATTATAAGTATAGGGTAATTATATTATCACTACAAAATCTACTTACTACACTACATTTAATAACATTGCATAATTTAAAATATATTTTTCATAATAAATTTCCAGTTTTCATAACAAACCAGCAACGATTTTGACAGATTTACAAAAATTCAATAACCATAAGCTCAAGCTTTGTACAAGAACTATTCTTGGGGCCCAACCAATTCTTCAATAGAATTCATGTAAGTTGGGATCATATGTCTATTTGGTTCCAATTAAAATTTTAATACATTTTTTCTTTTCTTCTCTCAACGATATTTTTTAATAAAATAATATTACACATATATAACTAGAAAAGTGCTTAAAATTATTTGACTAAATATTATTTCTTTATTAAATAAACTCTATAAAATTAAATTGTCACGGCAAATCTTTTAATATAAAATTTTATTATTTAAAATTTATTTGTTTCAGACGTTAAACTATGACCAACTAATATGTGAAATATCGTAAAAAGTATGAAATGCCATAATTTCTTGTATTATATTAAATTTCATTTCTAAAAAATATTAATGGGCATTAAAAGATGAAAAATAATAATAAATAAAAATATTGAAAAAAACACGTCATATTAATTATTCAAAAAAATCTTTAAATTAAATCAAATGAACTATATTTGGTATATCACTATAAATTGATAATTAATATTATTAATGTAAATTTCAGTATTCATAAAATCTGAAATCAGAAGGTTTAAAAAAAAAAACGCGGCGTTATAAACTCATACACAAATCTATTTAGAATTAACAAAAAAAAAAAAAAGTGCTTTATAATAGCTCATTTTAAAAATAGAATTAATTAATATACCATTCCTAAATTGAATTACCTAGAAATTATTTTACTGGGAATTGTAATTAATTGTGTTTGATTGGTATAATTTTCCACCTGAAAAATGTTGAAAGTTTGGTGTCCGTTTGACTTCATTTTTTTATGAAAATTGTCCATTAAAGTGATAATTTTTTCTACCAATACGTCTAGAATTTGTTCCAATTACTAAAAAGTAAAAAAAATAAAAAATTAAACAATTAGAAAAAATTACCATAATCGTTTGACTTTGTTTTGTATAGAAATTGTCAATAAAAATGAAAATTCTTTTTACAATGGTTGATAGAATTGGTTGCCNAAAAAAAAAGATGGAAATTGCTTTCCCACCTAATAGGTGGAAAAACAAATTCAAGAAAATGTGCATAAAATGATTATACCTAGAAAAGGTAGGAAAAACAAAAGCAATGAAAACTTTTGCAATCAAACACCATTAATTGAGTGAAGTTGGAAAACATTTTCTTTGTCCACCTAATTTTCTAGGCTATCAAACACACCCTAATTATCTACTAATATGAGCTATAAAAGAATCCAATTCCTTGCGGGTGGCGCCACCTTCCGCCACCGATTTCCTAACCGCGACACCTAATTCCTCCGCCCTTTGCCTAATCTCATATCCTTCCTTTGATCCCATCAATGTTTTCAATACCTTTGAAATTGTTGAAGATTTTACAATCTCATCTTGGCAACTGAAATTCTTCACACTAACACCAATTTTTAGCACTTCTGTGATTAGAACACTGTTTCTTGGCTGATCAGAATGCATTGGCCATGCAGCAATTGGCACCCCCATTGTTATGCTCTCCATGCATGAATTCCATCCACAATGGCTCATGAATCCTCCTGTTGATGGATGCCCTAAAATTTCCAATTGGGGTGCCCAATCTCTCACCACAATGCCCCTATCTCTTACTCGATTTTCGTACAATTCTGTCGTTTTTGGTAAGGTGGACTTGAACATACTTTCTCGTGTATCTATATCCCAATCTCTCATTACAATGCCCCTATCTTTCTTTTTGTATCCTTCTGAAGTATTTGACAACGTAGATTGGACAGTACAAGACAATGCAACTCTGCTCGTTTCGCCTGCAAAAATGTCTCCTCTATCTGCATCTCTCAACACCCAAATGAACTTTAGTTCGCTTCGTTCTAACCCGATTTCGAGTTCTTTGATTTGCTCATCTGTTAATGAAGTTGTTGTACCAAAAGAAACATAAATTACAGATTTTGGTGCTTGTTTGTCAAGCCATTTCAAGGTTTCGTGGCGCCCATTGCAATTTTTTTTATTCATCAACTCCACTGGATTGAATGGCCCTATAGGCCAATGCTTTTTACACCCTTTATTTAATACTTTTTCGAGTAAATTAATGTATTTACCTTCTATAACTTTACAAGAATTGTAAAGAATCCCAGAACTAAATTCTTGATATTTATGTTCAGAGGCAACGAATTTAAGAAATTCTGATGTAAAGCAATTTTCAAGTGAAGGGATTTCAGACAGAATCTTGTCTTCAACTGTAAAAGACTTTTCCTTAATTTTCCAGAAATACCAAAACATTGCAAAAGCTGAGACACTGTGAAAAACATAGGATTCAGCATTTGATATTTTACTAAAATCTTGAACAACAGATGACATTAAAGAATCATGAATAACAATAACTCTGTGTGCAGTAGGTGAGAGAGAGAGTAGCAGAGAGAAAACCGGCCGGCGGAGGGGAGAGAGAGCCTCAAACAAAGGTTGAAGATGTGAAGGGAATTTGTTGGAGGAATTAGGGTTAGGAGGAGGAGATTGAAATTCTGGAGTTGGGAATTCATGGAAATGAAGATGAGAGTCACGGTCGTCGATGGTTGAGCGTAGCTTAACCTGGCGGTTGTGGGTGGCGGTAGTGACGTAGTGGGCGGGGATGTTGTAGGCGGCAATGAGGCGGGAGAGGTGGAGGAGCTGGTGGAGATGGCCTTGTGCTGGTAAAGGCACCATTACAACCACCACTTGGGATTTTTTACAGCCATTTTGATTCTTCTGGTAATGATTTGAAGAAAAACAGGCCATGGACAAGGTTTTCTATGGATATTCTTGCAGAAAACCTTTGATATTTGTGTTTTACAATGTGTTGCCCGAGTTTATATGTAAGAACATATATAGGCAGCAATAAGGCCAAGTCCTAACTCAAACGAGTCAATGTCAGAATAGCTTTTTCTCGACAAATTTTGTGTATGATTAATGAAGGTTAACAGTGAAACTAGCACACTTTTCTCATGTATGCGAGTTTTATAGACATAATGGGGGTGTTTGTTTTGGATTTTTTGATTCTACAGTAAATCAATTCTCATTTTCAACCACACATTCTTCAATAAAATAATATTTTCCATCACATCAATAATTTTTTCTTCTTTTTCAACCACACATTTCCCATCATATCACTATTCAAAAATCAATTCTTTCATTTTCAACCACACATTCTTCAATAAAATAATATTTTCCGTCACATCAATAATTTTTTCTTCTTTTTCAATCACACATTTCCCATCATATCACTATTCAAAAATCAATTCTTCCCCCAAAAATCCCTACCAAACAAGCACAATAATTATATAAGAACATATCAACAAATTATTCTTAAATTAGGGTCTTTGTTATTGAATTCAATTCATTGTCATAGTTATCAGAACAATTATTCTACTTGTACAGATGATTTTGTACACATAGGTTGACAAATGCATGATTCAACTCAAGGGATCTATCTATACAAAAATTCTGTACATGTAGTAGAACTCTTATAAAAAGATCCAAAAAATTAGATCTTTAACAATAACAATAAATTAATTTAATTTCATGTAGTGAGATTTGATACCATTTTACCTAGATTTTGAACTTAGATTACGGACGGGCTATAAAAATTTAATTACGAAATTATGTACGAATAATATCAAGATCTTGATAATTAAATATTTGACCATAATGACGATTGCAATAAAACAAATTGGCTGGTAAAGTTTGGACACAATGATAGACTATCTCCATAGTTCATCCCCCTTTATGTTGAGGTGACACTCAGTTTTCCTTTATAGACAAACTAAATAAATTCTGTACTTACCAACCACCTCAAAAAGTTTTATCATATATTAATTGTACTGTATTTTGTTGTTGAAAGTAATTGTCCGCACGTGAAATATTGAACACAACATGTAATAAAACATGTGCAAGATATGATTGAGGAAGAGAGACGTGTGTGATAAGCTTTCTCACTTAATCGAACCTTACAAAATATTTATAGCAGTCAAAATCCACGCTCGGTTATGTTCTCAAACAAGAAAACTAAGTATTGTGGTACAAACTTCGGATCCTCTTTTGAGTCTCTCTCTGGATCTAACTTGAGTGCCTTTTGTCAGTTGGAGATAGACAAAGTGGTATGGACTGAAAAGTTTCTCATCATTAAATCCCCAACGAGTAGGAATTTTAACCCAGAAAAGTTGACCTCACCATACATGAAGGAGTAGTTGTGGATCACTTACTAAAAGAAGCAAAGGTAATAATTTGGGTCATACCATAATCGATGTAATTGAGATCAACAATCCCTATGTGGGGGATGGACCCAAGCTATAAATAGAAAGTGTATTTCACTATTTCAATGTTAAGAAACTGAGAGATCTCTTGTCGGCACCCATGTGAGGTAATTTAATGCGGTTGTATCTACTAGCTAAGTCAGGCCATCTCGAACAAGTTGAGAAAAAGCTTACATACTTTTGAGTTGTCAAGAAAGAGCCCACAAACAACTTGGTCGACTTCACTAGACCACGTTTACGGCATGTTATAACATCATTTTCCTTAAAACGGCGTTCATCCCACCACACATAAGTTATAGCCCACAAACAAGCCGGTCAATTTCACGGGACTAGTTGTAAGGCACGTTTACAGTGTCACCTTCCATAAAAGGGTGCATCCTCACCACACAAATTATAGCCCACAAAGACGAGTTTTAAGAAGTGTTATAATATCACTTTCCTTAAAACAGTATTCGTCCTCACCACTCATAAATTATAGTGTATAATTGAGTCCCACACAAGCCCTGGCTAAATTCTACAGTTTCTACTGATAAGTGCAACAAAAGTTCCAAATGCTCAAGACAAAAGATAAACTTTACGTTTGCTAAATCAGTAAACGTATAGCTTGTATTTTTTGACATTTGTCATCTTGAAGTTTCTTGCCTTCAGCAGAATCCATCGTCCAATAACGTATATAAACATATATAGAGAAGGATAGAAAAGATGTTCATTTTATGTCTACATAATCCCAAAAAAGAGAAAAAAAAATCATTTATGATAAATCTTGTACCGTATTGTTCCTTCAATGTATCAAGGGCTGCAGAGATTCTTAAAGTCCTCTTCCTGAGCATACCAGTTTGGTATTATCTTCGACAGGTGGGGATATAAATCCTTGTAAGAATTTCTGATAGTCCCTTCGGCAACTCCAGTTGCGAGTGATACGTCTACAAGAATTTAATATATTTAAGAACAAGTGTTTATGCAAAAAAAAAAGTGTAGACAAAAATATAGCCTAAGTAACGTTGCAAGTCTTTGACATGATATTGTAATGATTTGGAAACAACATAATTTATAAAAATCAGTGAATGTAAATCATCCGTATTTCAATCAGCAGTCGAACGTACCTTTGAGGGGCTTTTTATCATCGGAAACTTGAGTAACTATATAAATTACTGCTGCAGCAATTGATATGGGACTCCTCCTGAGATGAAGAAAAACGAAAAAATTGTTAGCAACAGGACCTCACACGTTATTCACAAAACTTTGTTATTTCAGAAGCTTTAGATGGACGTCAAAAATTGACATATAAAAGGAATCAAATTTAATAATCAAACTGAGAGACATGCCATCACAGTTTCAATCCCATTCCTTGAATAATGCTTCACGGCAACAATAACAAAACATATATTACTTGGGGCTGAAAAATGACACCTCATTTGCCAATCCATTTAGTCCATCACTACATTTGATGAAAGATCTAGCGCAACCAGATACGTTTCCTTCTTACAACATTTTGTATTAAGATTACATCACCCTTGTGAACAAAGCTTGATTAGGCCTACATAATAATACAAATGCCAACCATTTAAGTACTTGTTATCCTCAACTAATGCCACCTCCACTTATCGCCATATATTCTCTTTTCTTATCCATCCTAGCATGGATGGACTCCATCATAATATCATTTCGTCCATTCATCCTATGGACATTTTGTATGCTTTAACAGCCCAACTTTCAGTACTATAAAACATATATTGTCTAAAAACATAACTACTCTTGAGTACTTCTCTTTAGCAGTGCCAAGAGGCTCTTTATTTCTCTCATCCTCTTTATTTTAAAGAACCAATCTTTATTTTATCTAGTCCAACGAACTCTCTATCATTACAAAGTGAAGTAGAAAGTGGATTTGGCTCTCCATATGTAGAAGCAAAACTCACTCTCTATATGCTATTTTTAATGCTTTCATATGTAATATCATAATTTTCATAGTAAATAAAAGGAAGAAGAAAGGGTGCGTCATAAATATTAATAGGATAAGCAAAAAAGAAAAAAAAAAAAAAGTGTTGTTGGACTTTCGACTCTTTATTTTCAAATTTTTTTCGAGATGCTATTTGTTTTAAAAATATGCTCGTTATGTTAAAGAGCATTTTGGATGATGCTCTTGCCACATAGAATCCCATTATCATTTTTTTCATTTCATCCAACCAATTCTAGTAATAAAATTACATCTTCAGGTCCATTTTCCTTATTGATAATCAAATCTAAATATCTAAAACAATCTCTTTTTAGGATAATAAGCTCATCTATAGTGACTACTTTAGCATCCTTACTCCTATATTAATGGAAGGGTATTCCATGTAATCTCTTAATTCGTCTAACATGAAGGTTCCAAAATGCTACATACAGTGATACTAACTCCACTTCAAGTGACACTCAAGGTTGCTCCAATGTACAAATCCTTCGCAATATTAATATATCTAATACAAATTCTTTTTAGCACTTACATAATCGATTGAGTACAACTTTAGGAATTTAAATTGAGAGGCAAAATTAATGATAACTATGGTGAAATCGTAAGCCGCAATATTTTAACCATCAGATTGAATATTTTAATCAAAGTTATCAATAATCTAAAGAAAAACATGTTCCTTTGATTGCTTTCATTTTTCTTAGTTAATATTAGAATTGATCAAAATTTTGCTTGAAATTTGGTTTTTGTCAAATAAGAGGTAGGGATGATAGTCTGGACTCTTGAGGTCCAGTTTACTAGTTGTTTAGTTGACATTGTACGCTTGCGATTTTAAACCAACAATACAGCCTTCAGGAACTAGTCTTATTGCCACGTAACGTCTCTCTCATAATATAGATCTTTATAGTATGATAATGCCCCAATATTTCCTAACTTAAAAGGGAACAAAATCAAGAGGACCAACCTACCTTATGTCAAACTCCTCTGATTTTTGGACAGCTTCTTGGGCTGCTTTAACTATTTGATTTGTCATCCCAAGATTTGAACAAAACCGCCTCTGGGAAATTAAATGGAGCAACAACAGAACAGTCATAGAGGTTATAAGATGCTGTCTATTAATTTCTCTTTTTCTCCCTCCATCTTTGGGAGAAAAAAGGCAGGAGGGTTTTGTTTCAAAGAAAACTCACCATAAAATCCCCAGCATGTATAGTTCCTATTTCCACTGATTGACCCATTTCAAGCTCAAGTTGTTTCATAATGTATTCTTTTGCTCGGCCAATTTCCTTCTTTGTTGCTCCATTGGCAACAGAGCAAATTTCTATTTGAAATACACATTCAGGAAAGCCCATTCACATAGATAAATCAGGAAGCATCTGAATGATAAAATCTTAGGTTGTACCCTTTACAGTACGGGGCTTGTCTTCTTGTCGACAAGCAATGTACAGGCAAGCAGCTAATATAGCATCCTGGTTTCTTCCTCGACTAGACTTCTGATCTTCTACCTTCTTGTAAATCTCATTAGCCCGATCCTACGAAATAAATTTAAAGCTCCATCAGGAAAAGATGAAACAACAGCCAAAAATAGAGAGGAAATTAGCGGAAGTACAGTTTTTACCGATTATGATATTAATAGACCCATATCTCAAGATGCCATCACTTTTATGCAACAATTCAAGTACTAGAAAAATGTGTACCATGCATGTCCAGCATCGAGTTGTAGAGATGAAAGACCAAGAGTCCAGAATTAAAAAAGGGAAAGGAAAGTTAGTCCTAGCAACAAACGTCCAGAAGGTTATCAATGACCAGTGCTAACTTATTGCAGAATATAAATGTCAAGACCAAGATTTCTTCCATCAAAAATAATTTCTTCACTAGTTGACAGGAATTGTAGTATCATGTCTATGATTAGAACTGCTATGATTAGAGCTGAAGACATAAATGAAACCTTGATGTCCATACGAGGTTGGAAAATATTCTGTTCTACAAGTGCTCAAACACACAGCAATTAAATGATTTGATAACTTTCAAATTTTAGTACTTCGTCATTTGGCATGTTGGTACGAAAACTTGAAATTAGAGAAGTAATCTGGCATGGTACTGTAAAAGAGTCAACTAACTTCATCCCATGTTATAAATCAACCACCGATCCATTTAAAACAACCGCTACCTAGATTTGAGATAACATTTATGTACAAGTCCAAGTCATACGTCAAGTATTCTTGACGCAGTCCTCCTACAGAGTAATTGCTACATATTTCTCAGATAATAAAATTTTTACACTTTCCACAAATCAGAAACTGGGTAAGTAGACAAAGAAAACTAAAAAAGCTGTATCACCCAACCCAAAAATGAGCAAAACTAGACAGCCATGCATCTCTCCATTGGGTAAAAGAAAAATAAAACCCACTTTTAGCATATTGATCCAATTAAGTTACCAAAAATAATTACATCTAGTTGACCACGGTCGAAATATTGGTCTCATTAACGTAAAACTCAATCGAACAAGAACGAGATTGATAAAGAGGAAGAGGAAGAGAAGAAAAAGAGGGAGAGAATGGATAAAATTTAGAGGAAGAAAATATCAGTTTATTCAATATCAAAATCTATCTATTAAAAATGCATATGCCCACTTTATATACATGGTTTAAAGTTTAAACTAATCTAATTTAAGTAGAAAAAAACTAGAAAATCTATTAAATAAAATATTAATTATGTTTCCTAAAATAAGTATTAAATTAGGAAAGTAAACAACTTATAAAATATTAGAAAATCTATTAAATAAAACTCCTAATTGTGTTTCCTAAAATATACGTATCTAATTTGGAAAGTAAATTAAATAATATTTCCACTAGGATTCTCATCAGCCATTCTAGCAACCGATAAACAAATTACTTATGATCAGAAAGTCAAAGATGGGTAAATAAGATACCTTTATTGTTGCAACAAGGCCCAACCTGAAAGAAAATTGGGAATATCAGACAACAGTGTTGTCATTTTAAAGTCAAGTTATAAGAAACAGAAGGAAGTTAGTAAACCAATATAAAAAAGGCCGTAACACAGCAAGACACATTCACAGCACAGTGGAAGATATTTTGAAGGGAAATGAATTGAGTCCAGACATCTTGAAACTCCTTGAATACATTCATATTTGAACAAAAATGACCAAGATAAGTATAAATGTTCTCTAATTATTTTCAGGTTAGGTATGAATAGGGATGTAAAAGTTCAGCTTATTTACGAATATAGAAAGAAGAGATATCATACAAGGACGATGTGTCTGAAATACGAGAAAACATTTACATCAAAGTAGAAATCGAGTTGTTGCAAACAGATTCCAACAAAACTCAGAAACATGGCAAGCAAGTTAAGAGTACGCTTTATGCAACTTCTTAACCAAGAAAAAAGCAAAACAAAGGAAAGGAAAAGAAAATAACAGGCACGAAATGACAAACTAATTCCTCAATCCGAGGCTTCCAGTTTCATACTTAAGAAAGACAGCATATAGTTAATACACTATGAAGAAAGTTAACAAACTCGAACACATTCTAATAGAAACTACTGATCTTTAAACAGTCAATGAGATTCATTCCATATCTTGGGCACAAGGCACAGGCGTTGACATATTCGTGCACGTATTATTTCAACCATTTCCAGATTTGTATTTAGAAGACTTAACAATCCAAAATTTACTACATCTAAATAAACACGGGCATTGATGTAAATCGCTTAGCTTCATAGGTATTATTGATTTTTGTATTATATCAACAGCAGAAAAGCTTAGATTCTAGATCAAACCAATGGACAAAAAAACTGAGCAAGTAAAGGAAAATTATTCAGAAACCAACTGCAGTAACCTTTGGTTCGACTGAAAGAGAAGAAAAAAAGCATTAGAAACTGTTCAGAGATAATTTCAAATAGAGAGAAAGAGAGAGAAATTTCCTTTTATCTCATTTTTTTTTTTAAATGTAAGCCTCGAAACTCTATTCCTATGTTCCTCAAATCACCACTTAATACAGGATCCAAAAACAGAAAACTGGAAAGAAAAGAAATTCGAAAACAAATGAACGAAATTAATACAACACTTCACACTGATCCATGATACGTATTCTAGCGAAAATAAAAAGAAACCGCAATCAAAACTGAACCTTGTTCTTCCAAAATCAGACTCCCCTCATTTACAGACCCAACATTTGAAAATTAACTTAAAACAATTAATAGCCAGTACCTATCGGACATAGTCGCAATCGTTTTAAACGCAAAGATAAGTGACCGATCAGGATTAGACCCACGATTCTGCCAGCGACCCAGAGACGACGACAAGAAATCACTGGTTGTTCCATTCGGCTTAGAAATCACGGTCGACAACCCTCCATCCGAGAGAAGCGGGTTCGTCGGTCCACCAACACGGACCGGGTCATTGTCCCCCGACTCATTAGCGAAGGTACGCCATTCAGAGGTCTCATCAATGGAGTGTGACTCCAACACCAGGCCGCACTCCGAGCACACTGTATCCCCTGCCGAGTGGTCGAACACCACCTCCGTACTCTTCTTGCAATCGGAACAATACGCATCTCCCATGTCAAAATCGAAATTGAGCTCAAAATTAATGGTGAATGTAAAACAAAACTGGGATTCGTAAATGGTGCAAGATCGAAGAAGGGAATTGGATTTGGTTTTTCCGTTAGTTTAGTCACAGGGTTTTCATGCCATCTTGCGTGGAATTTGTCCATTTGGATAGCGAGTAGTGTTTAATTTTACCGGTAAATTAGCATTTATGATGCTATTTATCTTGGAGGTAACTCTATTTCATATGGAGGTTACTCTCCAGTCCCTACTTTCGAACTCCGCAAGTTTCGAACTCCGCCCCGCTTTCCGAAAATCCCGATGGATGGAATGGTTATGGAATATCCAACCCCATCTCGTCCAATTCCGTTATCATCCCTAGTAAATGAATAATTTTGATTTTATTACAGTATTTGATGTCGACAATACCTGATTTATATTTATCTACTTTGCGTGGCCTTCTTTAATTTCACATCATATTAAATTAATGCATCTAAAATTAATTTAAATTGAATTGTTCGTTCTTCATATCAATTACAATGAATTATAGGAAAATAGTGAGTTGGACGGATTGTAAATAGGTTCGAAAATAACTTTCTTTAAATAACCATAGTTAAAAAGAAATTACTTATTTCGACAACGTTAAATTTACTTTCGAATAGTAATGTATTTTACATCAAATAAGAGAAAGACTAGTTTTAAGATAAATAATTTTTTTGGTTAATTAAAATTCAAAATTAGTTGCTTATTTTGACATAAATGTAATTATTACTTTCTAAAGAAAATAATCTTCTACTTAGCAAATAAGAGAAAAAGCAAGTTGCCAAATATATTTGTCCCAAAAAAAAAAAAAAATTCCTCTAAAATACCAAGAAAAATGAAAAGATACATGGGTTATGTGTCGAGTACATGATATTGGATTGCACTACATTCGATAACGGAACAAAATTTTAACGTTCTTCATAATGTTCTATACTGTCCAATTAACCTATCAAACATGCATAAGACTTTCATAGAAGAATCGGTTGTTTCCTGTGCGTCATGGGAGGACGGGAAGTTCCACTTTGGTGAATGAAAAGAAACTGACCCGCCCATGCTCGACACAACAGAATTTTATACAATTGCCTTCATAACGTGTCTCGAGGTCCTCCATCGCTTGTTTGGATGGTGGATGGTCACTACATAAGAAACAATGTCATCAAACAATATTTCAGTGACTATTGATTCACTAAAACTGGCTACACTATAAAACCATATCACAATAGATATGTCACAGAAGTTGTTACCTGGTAAGGCAGAGGAGAAAACATGGACTTCCAGGAGAAGACTTCTTAAACTTGCTATTAGGCGAGTAAACTTCGAACTTTGGTCTCACTTCACTAAACTGCAAGCTATCGAACATTTCAGTAATGAGAATGCCGTGACTTGACATGTTACAACTTGTAACATCAAGTTCTGACGCACAATTTTCAGCAATGGAATTAGTTTTAGTACTCCTAGAAGTTGCCGTGACTTGACCTGTTACAACTTCTCCCATCAAGTTCAGACACACCATTTTCAGCAATGGAATTAGTTTTAGTACTCCTAGAAGTCCAAGGGATACCATGTCGGCCAACGATGTAACCAAGAGCCTTCAAGTGGCGATAAACTTCCAAAGACTCCCAAGAGCATCCATGTCCATCTGTACCTTTTGCGACTTTTTCGTATAAATCTTTTAAGGAAAGGTATGTATCATCGCCATGCAAGATATGCAAAGCTCCAATTTCAGCTAGAAACCTACGAAAACCAACCTAAGATATTAGATTCCTGACATGAGGGAACGTAAAAGTTGTTTCTTTACTGATAAAATATCCTTGAAATGTCCCATTCGTCGTATAATATTCATGTTGACGAAGGGTGGAGCTGGATTCAAACTGGTGGTGCCAACTGATCCCCTCTTAATGATAAATAACACAAGCTTCAATACGATTTTCTAATCTATAATCAAGGATTTCAATGAAAGCTACCAGAATTCAGTGTCCCAGAATCTTTGAAATTCTCCAAGATGGGAGGTTCATGAACACGTGCGAAGAGAGAGAAATGCACAGAAAGTGTCAATACGACAGTACCAGAAATAATGACAGGGAAGTCACGTAACCTACAAAGTCTCTTCGATGGAGCAATACAGTTTGCCATCACGAACTATCCCAGTTGTGGTCCACATTTTACCCTTTCTCTCCAACACCTCGGCCATTCCCAACTCCTCGATCCACCGTGCCTTCAACACATCTTTCCTTTACAAAAGAAAAAGAAAAAAATCTTTTATATACAAAACAAACACACGTATTAAAGGATTCCTCTCGTTTCACGATTATACCTGAATTGCAATTTGGGGATGTCACCAGACGAGTAGCAAAGTTCATCATCAACTAGGTCCTCCAAAGAACCCTCAGAATCACTACCCCAATCATTTCTTCCTTCAGAAAACCTCAATCTCTCCCTCTCACCATCTTCCATTGCTCGAATTTAATGCAATTCCGAATCACTACAAACAAAACCCACAAAAAAAATTGAAACTTGGGAGTTAAAATTGCATGAACATTTTGAAGATAGTACACAATTGAACTCAGAATAGAATTCAAACTTCGCAGAAACAACATTTAAGAGTAGTTGAGGCATTTCATCAAACACCCGGTATCAGGGGGCAGAGCCACGGATTAAACTAGAGGGGCAGCCGAGAAATTGCGGCTGCATAAGGGAGATTACGCTCAAGAAACAAGAATTTTGGGTAAAAAAAATCTCCAAGGAGCTAAAGAAGAGAATGTAAATGAGGCTGGATGGAATCTTAGGAGTGATTCGGCCCCTTTCCCTGCAACTGAACTGATAAGGGTAACTCAATTGTGTTGAAATTAAATCATTCACAGCAATCAAATCGAGTACGAAATCAACATATAAAGCCCAATAGATTTAAGCCATAATTTTACTCACATAAATCTGATATTACCTTCCAAGGTGATGATGAAGATGATTTATCCTTGTAGAAACCACTGCAACATCAGATAAAATTCCCTTAGTAAAGAATAAATTGCCGCCGGAGTACTGTAAGATAGAAAGTCTGCGTCACAGACAATAACATCGGCAAAAACTTCACCGTTCAAGTAAGGTTTTTTAGCTCCATAACACTGAACCCTCACTCTCTTCTTTATTTCTCTAAGATATATATATATATATATATACATACTTGCTTTCGTTCGATTGTAAAACGGGCGGAAGAATGGCGAATGATTCAGACATGGGTGGATGGTCGGATCTTCTGCATTCCTCTTCGAAGCTTCTCGATCAAGCCACTCCTCCTGCTCAATTGAACAAATGAAACAAGAGAAAATTGTAATTTCTGAAGCAAATTACCATTTTTCAATTTGCTTTTCTGTTATTTACTATGGAACTAGCAATATGGAAGTTTGGTTTGTCAGTGGGTCGAAAATTAGAGGAATTTGGATCGATTGTATTCCTTTTCAAAGAAGAGCAAGGCGAATAACTCTAAGAACTGAAGCTCCTTCTTAATGGGAGTTCTTGTCAAAGAAAAAACCATATTGCCATTATTTCATATACCTTTTTATTTTCCAAAATTTTTTAGTAATCCTGCATTGGGACGACTGAATTTTCCTTACTTTGCAGATTGCCAACTTTCTCGCGAACAATTTGGATAGAAACTGGCCTCGTGATTTGTATGAAAAGGTTGCTCGAAACTTGTAGTATGTCGTGTAGGGCGGAGCCAAATAAAAAAGACTTGAGAGATGTTTCATGCCTCGCCAAATATAGTTTAAAAAGCTTAGCTTATGACACAAAGGACAAAGTGAATCATATCTTCTATGTATTAAAAGTGGCAATGTAATGGAATTTCTTGTTTTTAACGGAAAAACTAACGGAATTTGTTGTTTTAACGGACTATGTAACGGAATTTCTTGTTTTAAACAGGCAGCTGCACCTTCTTTCAGTGTTTTTATCATAACTTTGTATTCCGATATCCGATTG